CTGGATGATGACATCACTGAATTCAATGATGAACTGTCTTTAATTGAAAAATGAGTGTTTACTATTGTCATTTTGCATTATTGACACACTATTTTTCTAATTAATGGTGTTCAGTTGCTTTGACACAATCTGTATTGTTAAAAGCGCTATATAAATAAAGGTGACTTGACTTGACTGAATGCTTTTCTCCATCACCTACTTTCGCTCAGCATTCACATTTGTCTAGAGTTATTAATTCTAGCACTGCAAATTTGTTTTCTGAACATTATTCTTTACATGTTACCAATGATATCCTTAACGAAACTGATACTGAAAGTTTGATTGAAGGATTTTATAAAGCTTGTTCTACATCTTTGGACACTGTTGCTCCGCTTAAGCATAAAAGGGTAAAGGGTGTTGGCCAGCCATGGTTAAATGAAAACACCCGCACTCTTAGACAAGAGTGGCGGAAAGCAGAGCGAAAGTGGGAAAAAGGTAAGCTGCATGTTTCCTTTGATATCTTAAAGTTAAGTCTCTCTAATTATCAAATAGCAGTAAAACATGCTAAATCTAGTTATTTCTCTCAGTTAATTGCTGATAATGTGAATAGACCAAAAGCTTTGTTTGATATGATTGATTCTCTTTTAAACCCAACAATGAATTTATTATCTGAGGCCTCCTCGGAACTTTGTGAGGACTTTTTTAACTATTTTACTCAAAAAAAATTGATGCTATCAGATTCTCCATTGCTCCTTCTGAATCCCTTCATTTGCAATTGCCTTGTACCACAAGTTGTTTGTCGTCCTTTCAACCTGTTTTATCACATCAGCTAGATGATATTGTCTCTACTATGAAGTGTTCTGGTTCTAAGTTAGATATTATTCCTGCACGTCTTTTTAAGGATTTTTTTCCAACTATTAGTCCTATTGTAACAGCTATAGTGAACAGCTCTTTAGCCAAAAGTGTTGTTCCAGCCAGTTTTAAACATGCAGTGGTGCAACCTCTGCTGAACAAGTGCAACCTCTGCTGAAAAAACCTCAGCTTGACCCAGCAATGTGCTGTAACTATCGGCCAATTTCTAAGTTGCCTTATATCAGCAAGCTTTTGGAGAAAGTAGTGTTTGTACAACTTCAGTCTTTTTTGGATTCTTTTAGTGTTTTAGATAAGTTTTATCTGGTTTTAGATCATTACACAGTACTGAGTCAGCTCTATTGAGAGTTACAAATGACATGTTGCTTTCTCTGGATTCAGGTGCTTGTGTTGTGTTGGTATTGTTGGACCTGAGCGCGGCATTTGACACCATTGACCATAGCATTCTTCTTGATTGACTTGAATGTGTGGTGGGTATTCGAGGCACTGCATTAAAGTGGTTTGCCTCGTATCTCGAGAACAGGACTTTTTCTGTAAATTTAGGATTTTTTTTCTCATCCGCTGCACCGGTCTTGTGTGGAGTGCCCCAGGGATCCATTTTGGGACCTTTTCTGTTTTCCCTTTATATGCTTCCCTTGGCCCACATTTTTCAAAAATTCTCTGTTATCAGAAATCAGACATTTAAAGAAAAACAATGTAGAAAATCAATACAATTTAAGTGATTTGCACAACACAGAATTTCTGGGGGGGAAAAGCACAGAGCACCGTTAATGTAAATAAATTAATAAATTAAGTTTTAACCACTTAAACAGAGTCAGGAATATTTAAATTGAGAAAAAAAATGGAATCTAGAAAAATTCAAATGGAAAAAAATGAATTTGAAAAAAAAAAATGACTGGGGAAAAAAACCTTAAAGAAACAAATTTCGTAGGACTGCATTGTCTGCATATGCCTACAATTTTAATAGCGTATGCAGTTAGTAACAAAGAATACTGAAAAATGTTACATAGTACTGCATTGTCATCGTATGAAATGTTTAATTCAGCAGCTGACGGCATCCAGTGAAGAGAAATGAAATATAACCAGTTTTATAAATAGGGTTTTATAACTGAAATAGACTGTTATTTGGCATATTTAATCAGAGATTTAAAAAAAAATTTTTACTTTTGGCAAATCGAATACATAGACTTTTTTGTTCATTTGTCAGATTGAAAACGGAAAGTGAAGTAAAGTGTTGCAATGTGATCAAATGGAGTATTTAAACGTAGCCATAGAATATTGTCTTTTACACTTGTACAAAAAAATTGCATTTGGTACAACATGACTGTGAGTACGTAATGATTTTGTATGAACTGTTGCTCATGCAACTAATATTCTCATGCAACAGGAACTTGCTGTAGTTTAGATGGTGTGATGGGTGTCTGACCGTGGAAGCAGAGCAGATATTCTTCCTTCTGCGGCGTGCTGGACACCTGGACGATGGAGATTGGGAAACAGTGCGAGGATCCAGTGAACACAGCCGATGCCAGCGACACGTCATTCTTGTCCAGGAACTCTGCCAAAAACAGCCCATCAAAATGCTGTTTACATAATGCACAATTACAAATTATAAGTGCCTGATCATGTTCTCACAAATGGTCCGCCAGCCGGTCCAACCTGGAATATGCAAATGTTACTGCAATGACTAGCTGAATCTTTTTCAATAACAGATCCATCACAGGAGATATCAGACGTCAGTAGATTGTGGACTGACCTGAAGGTTAAAAACACTCATCTAACTGCGCCCACAAGGACGTCATTGTATACTTACCATCCAGAACACACTGCTTCATCTCAATCTCGTAGAATTTATTGGTACCAATGATGATGCTGTAGCTGGTGAAGTGGATGCAGCTGCACGGCTCGAGCGTTTCAATCTCCTGAGAGATAAAGAGACAGATCAGTAGGGGTGTGTTTGTGTGAGCGATCTCTGGAGTTAGACCAGAAGGCAACAGCACGTAATACAAAAATCTGAATGGCTGTTTAAATCATTTAAATACATTTCAGGAACAGAAAGTAGCACTTTGTTTACGGGTTTCCAGGGTAATGGCTGCATTTCTGCTGTTCAGCGCCATCTGCTGTCAGAGAGTGAATGTGCTTTCATCCAGAGCGTCTCTCACGCGGTCCGCCATGTGCTTCTCATCCGTGCTTGTTTACATCAGGGTGCGCATGCGTCTGTCATGCAGCATACAGCAGTGTTGTGCATTTTAACCAGTTGATAGGAAAAGTATTCTTAAAATGCATTCAAAATTCTGAATAATTTGTAATAAATAATTATTCTCGGTATTTTGAAGTGCCCATGATAACAATACCGGGCTTGTTTACATCAGAGTGCGCACGCGTGTTTGATGCAGCATACAGCGTTGTGCATTGTGACCAGTTGATGGGAAAAGTATTCTTAAAATGCATTCAAAATTTGGAATAATTTGTAATAAATAATTATTCTCTGTATTTTGAAGTGCCCACGATAACAATATCGTGCATATTCATTACAGTGATATATCGCATTACCGAATACCGGCCCATGTCTAATACCATGCTAATTTTCTTTTGACCTGTTGCAAAATCCGTTCAGTTTTGGTTTCTGAAACGGAGCAGTAAATGATAGTGATCTTTGCTCACCCACGATCATCAGCAGCTTGTCGTGCTCCTTGATGATATGGATCTGAAACACGGATCCCATACCCGGGATGTGAGTGAGGGAGTTCTTAATCACATTCAGGGCATAGAGCCCTTCCTCAGAGCCCACCAACACAATCTGATGACAAAAACAAGATGACGGTATATTAAACTATAACAAATATAGACTGAAAATAATGAAATAAATCTTGAAAATTCAAAGAGATTGAGATATTAGTGGATGACGCAGGTACCTGGTCAGTCAGCGGGAGGGTGCAGTTGATATCCAGGCGATCATCTCCTTCTAGCTTGAGTAAGGAGTTACCCAACAATTTCTGTACAGAACCACAAACACCATCATGAGGATGTGAACAGTATGTTTAAAAAGTGCATTTTTCATTTGATGCACTTCGCAGAGCTTTTAGGATTATCAGTATGTTTCCCTGCGTCCCACTGTACTGGTAAGAAGAAACAAACCTACAGTTTCTGCCTTACATGTCACTGCACTGACTCTTTAAATGTCACTATGAACAGTCTGTGGGTGTTTCTGGTTTCTCTCACTCACAGCGTCTGCTTCGGCTTTCTCTCTCGCCCCACGACTGCTGGCCACAATGGCTTCCAGCACGGCCACCCAGCGCTGCTTCTCAGAAAACCCTGAGGTCATGAGGTACAGAGTCTGACCGGGCCAGCATGTCGACTGCGGAGACGACTCCAACTTCAGCACATACATGTTGGTCATTTATGTCCAGTCCCAGCTTTAAATTCAACCTAAGATGGTGTTATCAATTTCAAATCTTAATCTTGATACACAGAAAAAAATAAATTTAACTACAATAAAAAACAAAGTATAAAATATGTGAGTTTACATAAATTAGAAACAAATGTTAGAATAAGTGGAAGTGTGGTTGCATCAATCATGACGGCATCATCTCTGACCATCAACCTGGTTTCCGATTGT